GAAGGGCCTGTTTTTTCATGGCCCAGTTTATAGGGGAGGAAACTGAGACTCAGAGAAGTTCTAGAACCTGCTCCCCATCATCCCAGAGCCAGTGAGTAGCTGAGAGCAAACACACAGTCCTGGGAACCCCTACACCCCCAGAGTAGGCTCTTGCTCTGTTGTCCAAAGACTATTCTGAATACCCTTTCCTGTAAATCAGAGTGTTGCTTGGTACCCTCCACCCCAAAAATGGTATTCATGCATTATCTATATCTTCCAGAAATGCTCATCTCACCTCTTTCCTCATTGGCCTATGATACCAACTCACTATTTCCCTTCAGCCCTTCCCAGGCAGCCCTTGGCTACTGGGTTGCTGTTTTTTTCAATGTATAAATTTTGACATTTCACTCTTCTGGGTACAGTAGAGATGCTTCGTCTGTCTTCTTCATCTTACAGACAGCTCCATTTAAGTCTATTTAGCACACACAATCACAGACCCTTGCTTTGGCCCATTGCTGGAGGAAGAGGTAAGCCCTTTAGGCATGCCTGGTAATTAAGCATGCCCACCCCCAACAAGGAGGCAGCAGCAGCAGCAGGGAAATGATCAGAGATGGTAGAGTATTCGTCCTTCCTAGAGGTCTGGCTAGTAAAGGAAGGAGGAAGAAGGCTGTACCGGATATAAAGTTATTGTTGAGAAAATTTGCAGAAGGGAAGGCTAATGGCTGAGAAGGAATCATGTGAATTAGTTGTTTATGAGGTAATCGGTGCCTCAGGTTTGAAGGCATTTTCGAAGATTGGTGAGGTGGTCACTTTACAGATAGGCCCACGATGGCACTCAGGAGGTTGAAACTCCGAAGCTTTATATTGTTCAATAGTGGCTATGGGATGACAATTCCGATGTCTTTCTTGGTCACTGTTCTTTTCAAAGATAGTGGATTTATATGTTTTGGTCAGTTTTACGGGCTTAACATATAACCTTGAAGAGGTCTTGCATGTGTAATATGTATGGTTTCAAATAATTGATAATGGACAAATCGTAGTGTCAGACTTCCCCAAGTCCAAATACAGACTTGAAATTATTTTTGTCAGCGGGGTGTGGTAGTGCACATCTTTAATTCCAGCACCCTTGAAGCAGAGGCAGGTGATCATTTTGAGTGCAAGGCCAGCCTGGTCTACATAGTGAGACCTTGTCTACAAACAAACAAAACTAGACGGACAGGGTAAAGTATCATTGGTGTGTCTTGAACTTTTAGTTTGAGAAACTCGCATTGACCTGAGCTCCAAGATCCTTCTGATTCCGTTTCTACTATTGTAGTGGCCAAGCCAAAGAGTATCTCTGCCCCTTGTTTCTGCCTGGTTTGCTGGCTTCCTTTCTTTATCCCTTTTAAGAGGCAAGAGCCTCGTTCAGGGGTTACCTAAAGGTCATTTGTGGAGGCTGCTCAGCATCACCGAGAACTATGGGCCTCTTCTCCAGGTGCTCTTTGAGAGGCTTTCAGTGGGCTTATTCCAAGGCACTTGGCCAGTTCTCCTCTTGGTGGCCATATATCCTAGCTGCTGGTCACAGCCACAGGCTTAGATCATGTAAACTTTTACACAGAGAAGTCATCAGATCTCCTGCCTCCAGTTAGTAGATTTCCCTTCAAGACAGGAGAGCAGTGGAGTCTTTTCAGATGCGACAGGTTCATGTGGAGCCACCCTAAGCTTGCAGAATATGGGGTGGAGGCCAACCGAGCCCACCACGTGTCCTCAGCCACATTCCCACTTCACCTGCAGCAGCCCCCGAGGCAGACCTGCAGACCTGATGCTTAGAAACATGGTTTTAGGTACGTCCTCCATCTACCATTGCATCTTTCTATAGGTGTCCTTGCCCTATGCCAAACTGTCAAGCGAAGTTCTTACCTTTGATGGGTACTTGATGGAAAGAGGGGAGATAATTTCAATGATTTCTCTAACTCCACACCACTGTGGTAGATCAACCCCTATTTGAGAAATTTACCTAATTCAGGCACAGTGCTAAGTATTTTTGAGCATTATCTCATTCATTCTTGACCTCAGAGATAGAAGAGCAAGTGACTTATTCAAGAGCCACCCATCTAGCAAATAGCTTAGACTTTATCAAATCCAGATGTTTCCCATCTACCTGGTTGTCCAGTTACCATGAAAATGGAAACCCGTGTGTCCAAAATTGCCTCATTCGGTTACTGGCAGAGGGGGTAGCCTGGTTTCCAGGCACTGTATTCCCCCTGAAGGAATTTCCAGACTCAAGGTGTGCAGCGGAGCCAGTCAGCATTTGGGATGCCAGCTACACGTAGAAAGCCTCAGGAGCTATCAAGCCTGCCAAGGCTCTCTAGTGCATCTTATGTGGGTCGAGATTTAAGTTAATTATTAGAAATAATAATTTAGGCAGCAGTAATGAACCCTGCTACTCAAAGCCAGATCTTTACTAATCCTATAACAGCAGACCAGTCATCCACAAATTATATGCTTGCTTCCCCAAATTTAACGTTGTGGTGTGTTCTGCCATTCCTGAACATCGCAGGCTCTTCTATTTGACTCAATAAATCACCATTTCCTACCGAAAGGTTAGGCAGGGGTGAAGGGAAAACGATGAATTTTTCACTCATGCTAGAAATTCTTTAATCTTTTTGGACCCAAGTTTTCCCCAGGCCTGTTTTTAAAGTCTGACTTCCTTCCAGTATCATTTTACATCCTTATTAATTTTTGAGAGGATGGAGCAGAGAATGCCTCATTAAATTTTCCTGTCTTCAAATGGGATTGGTGGCGAGTACTAAGAGGCCCAATTAAGATTCATAATGATTTTTCCAGGTTGCATTAGAAGGACACAGCCTGGAGAGGGTTTAGCGTTGATAAGCACAAAGTAGTGGGCCCAGGGATATGAAAAATCTGAACCACTGGTGAAAGGGGGGAGCCTGCAATAAGATCCAGTGATGCGATACCTGAGAAAGGCACATCTGGATTTAGTCTGTGAGAACCATGAGGTAATGGCGTCTCAGCAAGGACCAAGTGTTTGCTGTAGCTTGCTATTGAATTTGGACACCTGCAAGTAAAGCATGTCAAAAACTCAGGAAAGAGTTACAGCATGACTCAAAGCTTGGAAGGCAGCGTCCGTAACAGAATAATATACAGGCAGTGGATTTTTTTTTTTTTTACTAAAATGAGATACAATTTAATTATAGTACCCAAGTATACAGCTGACAATATTTATTTGCTCCTGGGGATGCTCAAAGATGATTTGTTCTTACGGTGATAGATGTCTTCAATTTCAAGCTCAAATGGGTCAGAAAAGGAAGAGAACAAAGCCTAAGCCAGAGTCACATTGTGCTTAGATGCTGATAATTTTTCATTATTCGGGCTGTAGGGATCATTTGAAAGAATGGGGAATGAGGGAGTATGGGCTCCCTGATCAGAGATCTTGAAGAATAGAACAGCATGTTTATAGGTGTTTGGGTCTAGCAGAGCTGTTCAGTGCAAAGGCATAGAAGTGTTCTGATGTCTTGGAATTCTGAGACATCTTGACCGATCGAGCTAGCCTCCCAGTCACTGATCCATCCAAACATTCGGTTATCTGTTATGGGAAGGCAGTTCCTAACCCCCACTCCACTGCCACAAAGTCCTGCTGGGATTTTTATTAGGATTGCATTTCTTATATTGTTTAATTTATGGTGAATTAACATCTGTACAACATTAACATCTGGATCCAGGTCCACAGTAGTCATCCCCATCTGTTTACGGCTCTGCTTGTTCCCAGCAAGGTGTCACACCTTTCGCTGGAGAGATGTTCACGTTTAACCATGTCACTGTAAGTCCCTGAACTGGCTTTCTGTGGTCCAGGCTGGTCTTAAACGTGTGTTCCTCCTGCCTCAGCATCCTGAGAAACTGGGTTACAAGCATACACCCAGCTTTTTAGGCGTGTGAGATGATTGGATGCTGCTGGTGGTATGGTCTGAGCCCCCTCGATGCATGTTGAGTAATATCTGTTCATATCTAACAGTTCTGCTGGTGTGCATATGAGAAGGAATGCCGCCATTAGCCTGGCTGTTTCTAGGACATCAATATGCTTTCCGTACCCCCAACCAGGTAGAAAGGGCCACTAGCCTCACTATAAGAAACCTGCGCCAGGAGCCAGACAATGGAGCCCAGAAATTATTCTTCTGATCTAAGCTAAATTCCTCCAGTTGGCATTTTCGGCTCACTTTTCCTTTGTTTGGTTCACGATGTTGCCTTCTAAAAAGTTTTCGTATCTAGCAGCCTGCTGTTTGAGTGAACCATCATGCAGCTATTCTAGCCAGGAAAGCATGGAAAATGTATCTGTCTTTTGAAACGTATGCATCCCTCTATACTATAGTCCATCCATTAGGAGAGAATTTTCTCAGAATACAACACTGAGATAAAATAGTGGACAGAATTCTAATTCTAGTGAGTGAGTGTGTGTGTCCCTTTTGGCGGAAAGACCACAAGAAATACATAATATGATAGTTATCTCTGGGTGCCTAGTTTATCGGTTATTTATCCACTGAGCCGTACACCCAACATAATGATTTTATACCTGTCTGTGATTTCAGATATTTTACTGTAAACAGATATTATCTTTGCACTAAGCAAAAATCAGCCTCTTCTAGTAGACAAAAGAAAATTTAAAACCTGTATTGAAACTGCTAACATTTATTTGAACTTAACTTTCCCCTTTTCTCGTGTAAATTGTATTAAAATTGGCTGGTGTGAGTAGAACAGGTACGCGGCATGTCTTGAGATAATCCGAAATGACCGCATTCTTGTTCAGGAGTGTCAGCTTTCCCGCCAGCCCTCCGAGTAGCTATATATTCCATGTGGTATCGGAATTCACCCCTCATGCTTGGAACACTGCACACCTGTCTCACTTCACGCTCCTTGATTCCCGGGGTAAATCCCATATCCGCAGTGTGAGCGCCAGTGAAATTCATTAGTGGTCCAGATGTATGTCCCCTGTCAGTTGGCCTCGTAACCCTGCTGTTTATTGACAGGTTCTCAGGAATCAGATAGCTCACAGTCGGCCAAGAAAGACATGCTGGCTGCCTTGAAATCCAGGCAGGAAGCTCTGGAGGAGACGCTGCGCCAGAGGCTGGAGGAACTGAAGAGATTGTGTCTCCGGGAAGCTGTAAGCAATTAAGTCTGTGTTGTTTGTCATGTCATACATCTTCGGGAGGGACAAAGGCAGGGTGGAGACAATACAGACTGTCTTACAGGAAAACAAGTGCTCTCCCTCCCCAGTGCTGGCAACACCGGCACCTCCAGTGATATAGTTTGTTAGAAGCAAGGTACCGAGGGAACACCAATGTCAGTGAAAATAGTCACCAGCTGAATCTTATGTAGGATACACACCCACCCCGAGGCTAAGTGACAAGTCACTTTAACAGTCCCCAAACCACGCACTGCATACCGCAGTGCACAGGACGTGGCCTCACGGGACGCTGCCGGCCACTGTGTTCCTTCGCAGGAGCTCATGCCTCCGTTCTTTGCTGGGAAAGTTTTGCTTCTTCAGAGTTTGTCTTTTTGGATGCGATGTAACATCACTGGAGATCAACAAAGGGAAGAGGATGCCACCTGAGATACACAGTAATCACTTTACACATGGTGATCTGCTGTTTCTGTAGCTCTTTCTTTGTGAAAATGGAATCTTTTCCTAGTTTGGCGGTGGTGGGGAGGCGGTCGTAGGGAGGTGGTGGCTTGTAGATTTTTTTGTGTTTTTGTTTTTTTTTTTACCGGGGCTTGAATTTATGGCCTCACGCATGCTAGGCTAGCGTTCTTCCACTGAGCCATAGACCTAGCATAGTGATTCATTTAACTTTCATATAAAGCATTTAACTTATATAAAGCGTTGGGCTGGAGAGATGGTTTAATGGATAAAGCACTTGCTTTGCAACTGTGAGGACATCAGTTGAATCCCAAGAACCTAGATAAAGCCTGGCAGAGAAGAACCCGCCTGTAATCTCTATGGCGAGAGGGAAGGCAGTGAGCCGAGCATACTCAGTAACAAAGCCACAGAAGAGACCTTGTCTCAAACAAGCTGGAGGAGGAGAGCTGACACCGAAAGGTTGTCTTGTGACTGCCACATGTGGCCTATGACAAGTGTACGCACCCCATTCCCCACACAGAATGTCTCCTTCAGCCTGTTGTGGGGCAGATCCCAATTTCAATAAGCTGGTAGAGACTCCCACAATTCATTTCGACATTTATTGAAATGTCCATTCCTCTCCTCTAATGTTTATGCCATAACTCTTTGTTAGCAGTGCTTGTAGGCTTCATTCTTAGTGCAACACATACGGTCATGCATGTGTGTGTTGTGTGTGCGCACACACACATGTATGTGTGCCTCACGTGAGCACAGTGTGGGGCTGCTCTCCTGGGAGTGGTTGTGCTCCACCGACCATGACCGAAAGCTCCGTGGGTAAACAGCTCTGAATGGCAAGTATAAAGAGGGTCCCTAACTAAATCCAGGAGGCGGATTCTCCTCCCCCCAAATAATAATGCTTTGCAGCAGGAAGAACGAAACAGTGGGCCGTAGAGTGAGATCACATTACATTTCAACTTGGCTTAATTATGTCTGGATTGATTTAAACCGGAGCTCGCTCAAGGCAGAACCACATTAGCACAAATCCATTGCAAATCAGGAAAGCCATGGGCCTGGCTGGGGGAATGAGCCATGTGATACTGTGAATATTAGCAACATTTTTACAAAGACTATGCTTGAAGGAGAGAGAGAAAAAAAGTATGGGCTTTGGTGTCTGCCTTTCATAATTTGTAAAGCCTTGTTTTGTGTTTAATAAAAGAAGTCCCTAAAGCAAGCAAAGAATATACATTACAGCATGTAAGAAACATGTCAAGGCAAGACCAGCACGTACAATAAAAGTTGCACAAATGCATTATAAGGACAACAGAAGCTCCCACTTCCTATAGCTTTGAGAACAGAAAATATAACTTAGGTAGCAGTAGCCCAAAGCTTTGTGTACGTGTGCTTATTTTCACTCTTGACACGTGTGAGATAAAGGGGCCTCACCCCCACCCCCCACCCCCACCCCACACACCCCCACCCCCACCACGACCACCACCTCTCGTCTTGAAGATCCTCCAGGCTCAGGGAACAGGAAATGCTGTTTGACCCCTTGGGAAGAGAGCAGGCAGAATGAGGCAGTGTGGGAGCCCCGGGTGTCCTACAGCAAGAGGGCCCACTGCCATGCATTAAATTACTTCCCCACCATGCGGCTCTCGTTACCTATGAAATCAGATTAAATATCTGGAGAATTGAGACCTTGACCTGGGTCCTGCCAAGCAGATGGTGGAAAATCAGTAGCCTCGTTTTAAAAAGATAGACTGAAACCACAAACACTTTAGAGTTACAACTCCACGGCCATGTTAACAACCTCTCTTTCCTTTTTCTAAGTTTCCAAACAGGTAGTCCTGACAGTTTGTTAGATAGATAGATAGATAGATAGATAGATAGATAGATAGATAGATAGATAGATAGATAGATAGATAGATAGAGCAATCTTAGCAAGTTCTTATTTGTAGAAGATCTAAGCAGGGAGCAGGTAAGAAGTCACAGAATAAACATGACTATCTGAGAAACACTTGAACCTTTTTAAATTTTTTTAAGGCCAAATATTACAGGGGCAGTCATCCAAACAGGGACCATCCTGCTCTAAGGTTCTAAAATTCCTTCATAAGGAAAGAAGGTGCAAGGAGCCATAGCCAGTGCTGTGAACACAGAAGAGGCCCAGGAAGGGGGTGCTTGGGCACACACATACCACATAGCCCTCCATAGCCATGTAGTCAACCCGCCACATCATAGAAGGGCTTCGGGGTGCCTCCTGTGATTTGACATTTGCTGCTGTGGGCACTGGGGCCTGGGCTGCCGAACACAAGCGCTCTCTGTGGATGACGAGTTTCCAAAGGACGCTTCTGAGCTCTTCCTCATCACAGCCACCTGCTGTGGCATCTTGTAGCATCTGCGTTGGTTTTAGGGTCAGAGAGCCAGAGCTGGTGTTTGCCCAGATGTGCCTGCTGAATGCACAAAGTGACCTCTCCATCTTCTTCTGGTGCTGGAGAGTGACTTCTTGCCTTCCTATCTGGCGCCCACAGTGTGGTTTAGCTGCAGATTTAACCCCATCCGTATGCGGCTCAGATGTAGTATACTCATGCACAGCCTTCTAATGCTGAATTATTCTTCAAGCGGCCTATGCGGGCCCAGGGCCACTGTTGAGTCTGTCACCTACTCATTATCACTGTGGCCCACAACAGTTAAGAGTTCCAGAATTTCTTTGATATGTGTGTGTATATACATAATATATAATAATATATATTATATAATAATATATTGATACATATTAATTATTAATAGTAATAATATATTAATACATATAATATATATAATATAAATATATATATGTAAATCGTCTGTTCGTGTTTAGTTTTTTTTTTTTCTAAAACTCTCACACAAAAATTAGGGGTTTTGTTTTGTTTTGTTTGAGACAAGGTCTTGCTGTGTAGCCAAGACTGGCCTGGAACTCATAGTCCTGCTGAGTATTGGGGGATATAGGTTTGCAACAGCACACCCGGACAGGTCACTGTCTTTAAGTTCAGCCTGCTGCTGTGTATGGGGCCAGTGTCACACAGCGGTCAGCATATTCAGTCTTGATGATGCAGTTTCCTGGCATCTGCCAAACAGTACTCCCCATAAGAAAACTCATTTGGGGAGAGAGGAAAAACAAAAAAACAAAAAACAAAACAACAACGAAAGAAAACCTTAAGTGTCCAGGAGGGAATCTCTGGTGCACAAGTGTTGATTGCTGCCCACCGGCTGTGTGGCCTTTGTCACATGTAGTAGGCTGGTGGGAGACACTCACTAGACCAGCAAAGGAATGAAAATGGATTACTATAAAGTCCAAGTGAAGTTTATTTTTTGGGGGGGGGAGCCCAGAGCACATCTGTTCTGTACAAAGGAGTGTCCTTTGCTCTTATTTGCTCATTCATTTTTTTTGTAGAGGTTAAATTTCGTAACATGAACTCTTCCTCCTGCCCCTCACCAGCACTCAGCACCAGGATTGAACTCAGGGCTTCATGCGTATTGGACCAGGTCCCTTCCACTGAACTATATCTGCAAATCTTTTTTTAGTGGGGCTGTTTTGTTTTAGAGGGGTCTTCTGAGACGGAGTTTCATGAGTTGGCCAGCCTGGTCTTGAGTTTGTGATCCTCCTGCCTCAGACTCCTGAGTAGCTGAGTGCAGATCTCTACTGCCAGGTCCAGCTACATCATGAACTCTTATTTAGGCAGAGTGCTTAATGCTAAGGGGCCTTACCTACGCATCAGATTGGTGCGATGGATGTGTGTCCTAGCCAAGCCCTCTGAATGTTCTGTGCGCAGGAGCTCACAGGCAAACTGCCTGTCGAATATCCCCTGGATCCAGGAGAGGAACCACCTATTGTTCGGAGAAGAATTGGAACAGCCTTCAAGCTAGATGAACAGAAAATTCTGCCTAAAGGAGAGGTACGTTCCTCTGGCGTTGCGGACTTTCTCATCACCCCTTTTGCGCTATCCTTATTTGCCCCAGTTGCTGCAGCTACCAGGTTCTGTGTCATCTCTTCATTGTTTCCAAATGCCCGTGTTTTTCCTTTCACCCTTTCTTGGGTGAACTTGCTAGTTACTATATGGCTTCTCTTTATAAATGACTTTGACGGCCTTAGTGTACACAGTGGGTCTCTGTTGACGTTGTTTATCTGATACTGAAGACCAGGTGCAAGTGGTCAGTTAAGATTGGGGAGACTATTTCAGTGACAGGCAAACAGACATGTCTTTGTAATGACCTCCCTGTGAAAGAAAACGGAAGAGGTGAATCTCCGGGCACAGTTCTCATTGTCTGGGGAAAGACAAAGGGGTCTGCCATCTTACGTCTCATGGCTGCTGAAGTCACTGCCTGGACACTGCATCCTATGCTTGTTCTGTCGGGGCTTGTCACCTGTAACTGGAAAAGCCATATTTCAACGTGATTTTTTATTGTCGTTAGGTGGCACACTGGTGAGGGCTGGGACTAGAGAATTCAGATTTGAGGATAATCAAAGCTCAGCTGGGTGTGGGGGCTCACACCTTTAATCCCAGCACTTGGGAGGCAAACGCAGGCGGGTCTTTGTGACTGCTCTGGCAAGCCTGGTCTAGAGAGTGAGCTCCAGGATGGTCAGAACTACACAGTAAGACACTGTCATAAAAAAAAATAAATAAATAAGCACACAAAGTATTCGGCCCTTGTTGAAGATTAACAAAAAGCCAGGTTTACATTCAGGTCTCGGGTCTTCCCAAATTTCTTCCGACTAGAGTTACTGATTAATGAGCTAGCAGACGGAAGACTCAAGACAACTTCAGGGCTCAAAGCCTGGCTAGCACATTAGCTACGTTTCTTGTTGCTGGGATAAAATGGCCTGACGAAAGCAGAGGAAAGGGGAAAAGGGAGGGAGGGAGGGAGGGAGGGCAGATCTGCTTACTTTGGCTCACAGTTGAGGATACTGGGAAGGCTTGGGCAGAGTGTGAGGCAGCTGGTCGCACAGTTAGGAAGCAGAGAGCGGTGAGCGCCAGTGCTCCACTCACTTCCTCGTCTCATGGAATGGTGCCTCCTACACTGAGGGAGCTTCTTCCCACTCCAGTAACTTAGTCTAGGAAACCGCTCACAGACATTCGACAACTAAAGTAGCCGCCACGAAGGGAAAGAAAAGTAAAATACTTTTAGTTTTTTAAGGAACTTGGAGAAAGACATACTCCTAAAATCAGGTCAGCGTGCAGGTGGAGGGCATGCATGCGTTCAGGCCCATGCCTGAGGTCTGTCTTACAACGGCTCCCTGGAAGCCTGCTGGGCACACCTGAGTGTTTCATCCAAAGAGACGCCTAGTCAGGCCGCCTCCTCTTCCCTACGTCCACGTTCTTGGTGCTGACGTCTCTGGGTTATCACTCGGATTAAATGAGCTAGAAGAACATTTCACTGGATACTTAACACCTGCCTGATGCTCAGCAAACAGCTTCTGCAAAGAGAGCTGAGATGCCAAAGAGGGGCGTGACTTAGAGCACCATGTGGTCGGATGACTCCCAAAGCTATATCGTCATCTCAGCTTGAACTTTAAAAAAAAGCACCCCGTGTTTGACGAGTGTCCTTCCGCGCCTGAATTTCCCATTGCTGTGTTGTAGTGTTTTCTACTTTTCAAGAAAGCTGGCTCCATGCCTCTGAGAACTCCTTGCTGGCCCTTGTGCATCTTTCTGAAATTCCTCAGAGGAAGCAGCGTTCTGCAGCGCTTCCTCCCGACAGGAAGGAACTCGCTCTCGCTCTGTGCTGTCGCGGCTTTTCTGCATCCCCTGGGCTCTCCTTGCCCTATGACCCCTTCCACAGACAAGGCTTTCAGTCCTGTCCTTGACTCAGTTGGAATTTCAGGACTTGTTCTGCCTGCAAATCTCAGGGTCAGTGTCTTGGACCAGCGCTATCATAACCGCCCAGAAACAGCTGCTTCGGGGAGCCCAACTCATAGGCTGGGTTTTGTTCCTGTCCCAAGGCTCTGGGCAGGGGTCCATGTTGATAGCCTTCTTCCTCCGAAAGAACAAGTGTGTCCAGCACTGGAAGGATTTGGAAGGAGTTTACTGTCTGTCTAAGTGGTTCCGTTCAGCCCTTACTTTTCCCTCCCACTCCTGGTTCCTGCCTCTTCTAGACTTGAAGTGCTCAAAAGTCACTGAAATCAGGCAAAGACGCTCCCCGCACACCCAGCCCGGTCTGTTGTGCTCAGAGGCCAGAGGCACATTGTTGGGCCACCATCATGGAAGACGTGGGGTCCAGGAAACATGGGGTCCCTTAGTTTGATCGGTCCCTGCCGAATTTCAGTGTAACCTCAAATTGTCCAGGGCAAGACATGTGCCCTTCAGCGGTCATGTGTGGTCCTGGGAAAAGAGAAGCCACTGCGTGCTCATCACAGATTCGTGTAGTATGGCTTTATTGGAGCCCATATCTCCTAGGAGTTTCCAGAACACGCCCAGGCTGCTAGTGCCCTTGCACCCACCAGATACTCCAAACTCCAGAGTAACTATTGCTGCTTAGAGCCAGCTTTGATGAAACCGTTCCCCTAGTCAGTCAGTTTACTTCCTTGTTACCATGACAAAATATCTGACAAAGGCAACATGAAAGAGGAAGAAGGTCCTATTCTGGCTCATGCTTTCAAGGACTAGCCTTTCAGCATGAAGGAGAGCCTGGAGGCTGGAACCTGTGGTGAACCTTGCTATATCTTCACATCGGACAGGACACAGAGATGTTGGGCAGGAGGCGGAATTATCAGCCCCAACCCCTCCTAGCCTGCCACGTTCCCAACCTTCTACCTCTTCCAGCTGGAACTCGCTGACCAAAGGCTACAGAACTTTCTAGAGCAGTGGCCAGCACAAGGGATAGTTTACGTCCACAGTCCCAAAACCAGGGAAGAGAAGAAATAGAGAACTGAACTGTGAGGTACTTAAGGGGATTCTGCATTCATCCACAGATGCTAACACATACGCAGAGTCTGCCTCCACCTCTAGGATCGCCTTGTGTGTGTCCATCTACAGAGGAGATGCCTGAACAGTAGGCCAGCCGCACATATGGGGCACTATCTTCTGGGTCTTCCAGCCATATCTGCCATCCACAGCCTCATTTCTCCTAGGCCTAGAAACAAGGGAGACTCACTTGTCTTGATAAAAGGGCCAACGGAAAAGAGAAAGAGAGAGAGAGAGGAGGGAGTTGCTCAAGAAGGCAGGAAGGGATAGAGTCCAAAACCTACCCAAGGATCAGGGGGAAAACTGGTTGCACTACCCACCCCCACATCACTGGGCCTTCTAGAGGGCCCGGAAGGGCTTTTATGAACACACAAGTGTGAAAAGAAGGGTTAGGGCTTACAGAAGGAGCATCCAGAAGTCACCCAGGTGAGTGGGATGTGTCCTAATGTGAGACACACAAAGATGCGTGGCAGGCCATATGTGGGAGGATCAGGAGATGTCCACGCATGAACAAACACCAGAGGACAGTAGCAGAAGGCTGTTCCAGTCCCAGAAGTCATGCTGTGTCTTATGCTCCAAGGAGAAAGAAAATGATAGCAATGGATTCTGAATTTCCTCTAAGGCTTGGTCTTCGGCAGACCCTGGTAGAGGTGGGAGAAAGGAAGATCAGAAAAACTGGGGCAGAGGCCTGGCCGAGAGGCGGGAAAGGTAGGGTCTCCTTGGGCAGCAGGATCTTGGGAAGCTATAAGCCTTGGTTTTCCCTCCCACAGGAAGCTGAGCTGGAACGCCTGGAACGAGAGTTTGCAATTCAGTCCCAGATCACCGAGGCTGCCCGCCGCCTAGCCAGTGACCCCAATGTCAGCAAAAAACTGAAGAAGCAAAGAAAAACCTCATATCTGAACGCACTGAAGAAGCTGCAGGAGATTGAAAATGCAATCAACGAGAACCGCATCAAGTCAGGGAAGAAACCCACCCAGAGGGCGTCCCTGGTCATAGACGGTCAGTGCCACCCACAAGCTCCTGCCCTGCTCCCCGACAACCAGGTCCTGTTAGGTCCTAGTCCAGATCCTGGCAGGATCTAAATAGTCTCTCCCCCTTATCGTCCATCCATAAAAGGGAATGGGTAAGCCTGACGCTTCATCCTAATAACCAATTGCATGTGGAGGCACAGATGAAAGAGACCATACGTAGAACCTCACTGTCACTTGTGATACTTCCCTGGGGGACCCTGAAGGGATGAGCCATTTGCTCTAGGAACTCAGAAGTGCCCATCTTTTATATCTTATTCTGCGTCCTTTGCCATGAAAATGGAACTTTCCCCCACTTTCTAACAGGGCCACAGTGAGTCAGCTCTTCTTTGTCATTGCCTCCTTTGGGGCCTCCTCAAAGGCATTTGAACTTCCCGGCTCTGTAGGAACATCTAGAAGACCCATCAGAGCTATGTCTGGGAAGAGCAGCCTGGGGGAGCCTGTCTTACCAGGTAGCCTCAGGGAGCCCATTCTGAGGTCGACTGAGTGAAGGCTATTCTCTTGGGTCTGTGGCAGCACAGGCTCCTAATTCATTACTCATGCCAGCTCCGATTCCTTCCGTGCGAGCCTCCAGCCATTTTTGTTAAACTCAAGAATCTGCCTTCCCTGCTTTGCTGCCACCGTGGAGTAATGTTTTCATCACGGAGGCCCATCTGCGCTGGGTGTGAGCAAGCTCCTTAGATCCCAGACAAAGGTTTCATTTTAAGAGAATACTAAGCACAGAATCTGAAGACTTTGGATGGACTGCTGACATTTCCCAGAGAGTAGAGTCACTTCAGACAGACCCGCTTTCCTGAGAGTACCTCAGTTTCCCCAGTGGGAGGGAGATCATTTTACTGTTTCCCTCTCAGGCATATTCCTAGTTGGATGGTGACTGTGAACATAAGCTGGAGAGAGCTGGAGTCTGTATTTAGCAAGCTTGTGTTCTCTGCTAATGACTTAAGTTCATTGAGAAACCATTTATTGCCATGGGAGCAAAACTAAGTGTCCTCCTCTAGTTTCGTGTCTGTTGAATAACAGCTGCTGATCTCCTTGGTTCGGCTGGTACTTGCCCCGAGTTTGCTCTAGGACAATGATGTGGCTTAACCAGGCCTCACCACCTTCCTATGACATGCTGAGCCACAGTATCTGGTGAACAAGGGCATAAGTACACAAAGACTAGGGCCCACTGCAGAGCTGGGGTGGGAAGGGTGTGCTCATAACCCACAGGGACTGTCAAGGGAAACACCCAACAGCATCTTTGTTTCATGGCTTCTTTCCTTGCTGATGCAAAAAAAAAGATGGGTGAGTGTTGCCAGGGTGGGGGAGGGGGGCAGGCTGCTCTTTCCTAAGCACAGGCTTGGTTTCCAGAGTGTATTAACAACCCTGTGGACCTCCACTTTTTGTCTTCTAGATGGAAATATCGCCAGTGAAGACAGCTCCCTCTCCGATGCCCTTGTTCTTGAAGATGGTAGGTTTGTCCGTTCCCTGCTCTTAAAAGTGGAATCCAGGTTAAACCCAGATTATTCTGTATACAGCCTGGGAATGGCCTGATAGACAAGAAGAGGCAGGCTGAGACAGTGCCTGAACTCTTTACAGGCTCCTCCCTTCCCCAGGAGTCACTGCTGGGCTCAGAGTGCTACCTTGACATTTGTCTTCCAGGGTCATCCAACCTGCAGTCTGTGGGCCACATGCAGCCCTTGTGTTCCTATAGCATAGAAAAACATGTATGTGTGCTCTGATAACATATGGGCCACATGCAGCCCTTGTGTTCCAATAGCATAGAAAATACACGTATGTGTGCTCTGATAACATGTGGGCCACATGCAGCCCTTGTGTTCTAATAGCATAGAAAATACACGTATGTGTGCTCTGATAACATGTGGGCCACATGCAGCCCTTGTGTTCCTATAGCATAGAAAAACATGTATGTGTGCTCTGATAACCTCTGGGCCATGGGTTGGACACTTCTGCAATGTATGGCCTAAGAGAAATACTCTTGGTCCAATATGGCCCAGATAAGCCAGAAGGTTGGACACCCCGAGTGATATTCAAGAAATGGTATTTTGTTTTTGTAATAACCAAAAATTTTTTTTGGTTGGCATGGTACCTTTAATCCTGTAACCCCAGCATATGAGAGGTGGAAACAGAGGTAGGAGGATCGAAAGTTCAAGGCCAACCTGAGCAATATAGCAAGTTGACCTGAGTCAAAAACAAACAAGGGTTGGGAGTATAGTTCACTGCTAAAGTATTACCTATATGCAAGAACCTGAGTTTTATCCTCAGGACTAAATATATATATATATATATATATATTATATATTTATATTATTTTTTGCATATAAATATATATATGCAAAAGAGCTTTCATCATGTGTATCTTCCTTGGGGCAGTGCTGGCATACAAGGAAAGAGGCAGACATTGATTTGGGCTACATAACAAAGACTGGGGCCGACTGGGAGTCTGAGCTCCAGGAAGGAGTTGGCCTATCTGCTCTCTTCTCTGAGACAGAAGTGGGAATGTCCCTTTTATGACATGGACAACCTTGGAAACTGCTCTTCTATTTCCTGCTGAATTCTCAAATCTGACAACTGCCAGGATATTTTCTTGGTCAGGTCTTTAGGAAATCAGAGTTGAAAACCCCTCCTGCCCCCACAGCAGAAGCAAGCATTCCAGACTTAGAACCATTTCCAAGCTATTCCTGTGGTTGTTAAACCAAAACATTGGGCAGTGAGGGCACTAATTATATGGAAATCTATTAACTGGTAGTTCATTTTTTTGCCCTCTAGGAAAACCTCAGGCAACCAGTGGCAAGTGACTATTGAGACAAGAAACATAAAAGACCTACCCAAGCCACAGTAATAATAATAATTGCCACAATAATAATGATCGGTCTGGATGTGGGGAAAGCCTGGGGGAGGGGGGGCTAGCTGCCCAGTTGTCCTGGCCTTGCTGTTAGAAACTGATTGTCAGATTTTACTGTCTGCTGCATTAGTGGATGAGGAAGCATGGTATTCCATGAGAACACAGAAGCCTGTTTGGAACACGAGGCCCCCGGTCCTACCACTGATCGCTGCCTCCCTAGTCTGCCGAGGAAGAAGCAAGCTGATGAAGTTCCATTGTGCTAGTATTTTCCAGGGCTGTGCTTAGTCATTAGCTGAGACATCCCGATTACAGCTTTGCCCCTGTGTCCGAAACCTCTGACCTCCTGAGAACTGTAATTGCCTCCTCTTGTGTCCTGTGTCCCCATTTCAGGCTCTCACTTGCTAGGTAGGACTCCTCCTGTCTGACTTGAGGGGCAAAGCCAGAGCCTTTGAATTATGGGGATTGGGGATTAGGCCATGAAAGAATCAAGAGTTGAAAATGGATATGGGCTCCTACAAATGATTGGTTGGTTCCCCCTATGTCCCCCCTTCCCTGTGAGCATTCCCGTCTACTCCCGAAGCCACTGCACCTCAGGTTCCCATCACTGTATCTCTTCACAAACCCTCCCTTGTCTCTCCTGTCTCTTTTCCCAGGGTGAAAATTGCCAGAACAATGGTTCTTAAACAGGATTCTCACCCTGACATATCTATGCTTAAGTTACCAAAGTTTTCTTGTAGCTTTTAGGCCAAATCTCAACTCTTATCTGGAATTCAAGGTCTCTTGCTATCTGGGCTCACTCAGAATTCCTCCCTCTTGGGCTCTGCCCTCTCCCCCAGCTGAGTGGCACCTCCTGCTTATATCCCCTCCCCCCCTCCACATTTCTACCCGGTTTCCTTCCTTGTCTGCCTGCCCAGAGCTCATTTCCTTCCAGACCGACACCTTTTGGTTAGGGATTGTTGTTTTCTTTCTAATGGGACCAGGTCCTAGATAGCTCAGAATGAAGCTGGCCTTGAACTGCTGATTTGCCCACCTCTATCTACCAAGTGCTGGAATTACAGGCCAGAGTCACCATGTCTGGCAAGATATCTCTTTCTTTGACTAAATGGCTTTGCTTCCTTGGGAAGTCATCCAGCGTACAGATGTGCTGGGTTGCACCCCAGAGATGCTGTTGGGACTGAGACCTTTTTTCTCCAAAACACCTTGATCAGCGCTGAGCTCAGTGGAGAGCACTTGCCTAGCATGGATGAGGCCCTGGGCTCCATCCCGATATCACAGAACTAAATATGCCAGAAAAGATTGTAAAGCATTTAAGTAGCTTGTGGGGGGAGCATGGCTGGTAGAGAACCAGTTTTGCCAGCACTTAATTACACTTGACAGATACACTTTCGATTCATTTTTTTTTTCCTCCAACAAATATTTATTGAGTTCCTACTGGGTGCCGGCTGTCATTCTAACCCTGAGGACACGCTGAGTAACAGAGTAGAGAAAATCCTCAGGAAGGTTAACTCCTCTCCCCGCTAAAGCAAACAAGATATGTCTACTGTCTCTTCAAACATATACTATGGCACAGCTCCATCCTGGAGCGTTTGCTTCGCACATCTGAGGCCCTGGGTTCATTCCTTAGCACCAATTAAAAAAAATTAGGCCATTAAATACTACATTTGCCTGTTTAGTAGGAAGTGATCACTTCTTGGAGGCACGGAATCCAATTTAGACTTTCTTCGTACTTAACTAAAAGTAATAGTTACTGCCCTGTACAAGGCTCTGCCTCAACTTGGACTGACCAGTAGTTGAGGCAGGGTCGGCAGGGTCCTTGGGCATATTTTGATGTGTAGCTCCAAAGCTCAGATGTAGTGGGTTGGGTATGTGGGAGCGGTGACTCTGATCCTTCCCTCCTCTTCCTGTCTTGGCAGAAGACTCTCAGGTCACCAGCACACTATCCCCCCTACAGTCTCCGCACAAGGGACTCCCTCCTCGGCCACCATCGTCACACAACAGGCCTCCTCCCCCGCAGTCCCTGGAGGGGCTCAGGCAGATGCACTATCACCGCACCGACTATGACAAGTCACCCTTAAAGCCCAAAATGTGGAGCGAGTCCTCCTTAGACGAGCCTTATGAGAAGGTGAAGAAACGCTCCTCCCACAGTCATTCCAGGTGAGCCGGGTCGGAGCACCCAAGTGGGGTTTCTGGCAGAGTTCGAGGGTGGCCCTACCCAACACCCACAGTGTCTATTCCCAGAGGAGGCTCTTTTCCTTCCTTTGCTCACAAAGCCCTCTGCTGTCGGCCTCGGAGAAGTACAGATTTGTCATCCAAAGGGGGAAAACCAAAGGTTTGGCTCACAATCAACCTGTTGGCAGATGGCTTTAATGCCGTTAAATTCCACAGGAATTAATTAGGAAATTGTAGCCAGCAGTATTCCAGAATGGCAAAGGAGAGTCTCCTTTGCCAAAATCAGAGGATCCCCAAGGTGGTGCAGAACCTAAACCATCTACCAGCCGGTGTCTGGAGCCAAGCTGCCGTAATGAAAGGCACACATTAGCAGCTCATTACTGGGTTAATATCAACATCATAGAGATGACTACTTGGATGTTGTTTTAGGTCTGCTTCTGCTGTCCTCATTTTCCTTAATTGCACAGCCCCAAGAGGGTGCCCGAACAGGTATCTTATATCTCGGAAAACAATGTCCTGTGCTGATTGCAGGGGCGGAGGGGACAAAGCCCCCTCCAGTCGGGCAGCGAGAGCTGGAGTCCTGGGCAAGCTCTCCCTCCAGTTAGACCCACTGTCCCAAGCTGGTCAGCCCCTACCACTGGGGACAGGGGCCACATTATATTAGCGTGACCAGCTTGGCTTTCCTCTCCTTGCAGCAGCCACAAGCGCTTCCCCAGTACAGGAAGCTGTACTGAGGCAGGAGTAAGCAGCTCCTTGCAGAACAGCCCCATCCGAGGCCTCCCGCACTGGAATTCCCAGTCTAGCATGCCGTCCACTCCAGACCTGCGCGTCCGGAGTCCCCACTACGTACATTCCACAAGGTGAGTCTGCAGGACCCTCGGACTCCCCGCCTTTCTGGTCCAGACCTTTCAGCCCCAATAACAGGTGAGCTAGTCAGACTGGACACTCAATACAGAAACCGTCCCTCTCCGGGGACTTGTGAAACCAGAGAATCCCAGTCTCCTGGAGAGAACCAAACAAGGATCCTAGTAAAAGTGGAAGCAGAAAAACTAGTCCAGTTAATGTGGGAAGTGCAGTGGCCTTTCACACCTCTGGCTAATCTTTGCTCCCCATTCCTCATAGACCGTTTCACAAGGCCTACGTCTATTCTGGACTCGTTTTAATGCCTCAAGGTTATACATTTATAACAATCAACAGAATGAACAGAAAATGGGCTTCACTGAGTCACAGTCCTTTTCTAAGTAGTTGTCAACCCAGATCATGAACGGCCATTGGTTAGGGCTATTCACAGCCTAGAGTCGCTGTGAATTTGTATATGTAGTTCTAGCATTCGGTACCATTATCTGTCTCATATTGCTATCGGTGGATAAGCAGAGTGGATCAGAGGCAAAGTCTTGGTATGACCAGTAGGCATTTGTATCCTTCTGTTTAGGGGCTCCATGTTCTGCCAACCATCAATTTTAGAATCTTTATAGGAAATAGCCATTGGCATTCATTTCAGAGCAGTATTTGGTTCAGAGAGTTAAAATTTCTATTAGAGATTTTATTGTTACTGATAGGGGTTTGTATGCTTTACCTACAATCAGCATTTTCAAGGAGTTAACATAACTACGTAGAACGTAGTAACTCTTTGGTTCCCTAAAAAGCAAAAGCCCTATTTTGGATGTTGGTCAACACCTTTTAGCGGTAACCCTGTGTAAATCCTAGATGTAAATCCACTTCCCTGACTCCGCCTCCAGGGATTGCTAGCTCCCCTCCTCACCTGGGACCTAGGGAAGTACCTGGCTTTCCAGGGCAACCCATTGGCTAGAAGCCCTGAGTCCCCCTAGGGTTTTACACTCCAGCCCTGTGGCTTTCATGGGACCTTTGATCCTGAACCCCCAGACCAACCGTGAGGTCTCCCCACAGGTCGGTAGACATCAGTCCCACGAGACTGCACAGCCTCGCACTGCACTTTAGGCATCGGAGCTCCAGCTTAGAGTCCCAGGGCAAGCTCCTGGGCTCAGAGAATGACACCGGGAGCCCCGACTTCTACACTCCGAGGACTCGTAGCAGCAATGGCTCGGACCCCATGGATGACTGCTCGTCGTGCACCAGTCACTCAAGCTCAGAGCACTACTACCCGGCGCAGATGAACGCCAACTACTCAACGCTGGCGGAGGACTCGCCATCCAAGGCGCGCCAGCGGCAGCGGCAGAGGCAGCGGGCAGCAGGCGCCCTGGGCTCAGCGAGCTCCGGCAGCATGCCCAACCTGGCAGCACGCAGCGGGGCTGCAGGCGCGGGTGGCGGCGTGTACCTGCACAGCCAGAGCCAACCAAGCTCGCAGTATCGCATCAAGGAGTACCCGTTGTATATTGAGGGCAGTGCCACACCCGTGGTGGTGCGCAGCCTGGAGAGTGACCAGGAGGGCCACTACAGCGTCAAGGCCCAGTTCAAGACCTCTAATTCCTACACGGCTGGTGGCCTGTTCAAAGAGAGCTGGCGTGGGGGTGGCGATGAGGGTGATGCAGGCCGCCTTACACCATCGCGCTCCCAGATCCTGCGGACTCCTTCGTTGGGGCGGGAGGGCGCCCATGACAAAGGCTCTGGCCGTGCTGCGGTATCAGACGAGCTGCGCCAGTGGTACCAGCGTTCCACAGCCTCGCACAAGGAGCACAGTCGCCTGTCGCACACCAGCTCCACCTCCTCCGACAGCGGCTCTCAGTATAGCACCTCTTCCCAGAGCACCTTTGTGGCGCACAGCAGGGTCACCAGGATGCCCCAGATGTGCAAGGCCACATCAGGTGAGCAGAGTCGGGGGACTGTGATGACCTGGGTAGCCGTCGCAGCCAAGAAAGGGAGTCATTTATTACGGAGGCCTTGCTGAGGAATGTGGGAAGCCCGAGGCTCTTACCCCAACAGGAGTGTTCCTTCCTTAGCTAGAACACTAGTTAAGGACAGAAAGCCATGTGATGTCAGGTATCGGGGTTTATCCTGCTAAAGGTGCACCTTTTTCCTGGTGAAGAAAAATTCTAGTAGGTTAGAGACCCAAGTTATAACCTTGCCAAGAACGGTTGGAATCTTGAAGCTCTGGGGAAAGAAGTGTTTATTCTCTGAGCCTGACAGCTGCCCTACATAGGTAGCCTGGCTGCTCCTGGCTTTCCTATTCCAATGAGGTTATGATACGATCACAAAGTAACTTCTTTTTCACAGAAGTCACAACAGCGCTTTCAGTATCCTTGATACTGTGTCACACTGAGATTTGACCCCACTGTGCAGTGAAGTAAAAGATGGGAGGACTGTCCTTTCTCTGTGAAATAACAATGCTAATAACCATCCTTAGCTGAGCACTTGCCTTTGCTACACTGGTGATGCTCTTCTGTATATATATACCACTCAGACTGTGGTTAAAAAAAAAATACTCTAACCCTTGTCTCCAGTAGGCAGAAAATGAGGGAGGAATCCCAGACAAATAGTAAGCAGTACAAGAATAAAACCAAGGATTGGGGACGAGTGTCACCTGAAAGGAAGACGTACATTCTGCCTCCATATCCCCACAGTCCTTTTCCTGAGGGCACACACACAAAACAAACTCCAGAGACTAGGCTACAAATGAGCTAGCAGTCCTGGGACACCATGGACAACACCGACACCTTCCTCCTCTGCTTATTTATCTGTAAACCAAGCCACTGGGTACACTCTATGTACCACCTGAAGGTCATGATACCTTCTGGTCCTCTTAGATCCCATGGTTAAGTACCAATGGCCAAAAGATAGGAGTGTGTCATTCTCTGAAAACTGCTGTGTTTGTGTGGATATGCTTTACTAAATGATAGCGGGCAGATATTATTACTAAGATTTTAGTAAATTGTATCTGAGGTTGACAGACAGAAGAAGAGGATTCCAACCCCCTACCCCAACCAATGCAAAGGATGCATCTAAGTAGGATTTACTTGGTGCTGAATTCTCCTAACGAGATTTCTGTGTTCCACCATCAGTAAACTCCTACGCTTGGATGAGCTGTTAAAAGCTCTGTTCATTTGAAGGGTTATTGAAGTAGCAGCTGATAAGTCTGAGACAACAGAGGGCTTTCCAGAGGCCCTTCCTACAATAAAGCATGACCCTCACATAGGGGCCATATCTAAAATGCCACGAGGCGGCCCTACATGCTCAGAAATACGGGGGCTTCCCATTCTGTGCAGTAGAAGAAGCCATCCTGTGGCCTCAGTCAGAATGGAGAAACGTAGGTAGGAGGAGAAAATGCAATTGGGGGTACAAAAGTATTTCCCCACTGTGTCACTGAGAAGCTGCCTACAAGGTCATGTCTGGCAATGGTTGAAGGTCTGCCACTGGGTTTGCCATTGTGTTATAAGCTCCTTTATCTTACCTGTCTCTCCCTGCCTTTCCCACACCAACTACATATAGCTGCCTTACCTCAAAGCCAGAGAAGCTCAACACCGTCCAGTGAAATTGGAGCCACCCCACCAAGCAGTCCCCACCACATCCTGACCTGGCAGACTGGGTGAGTTGTCCCTGGCAGCTGTTGACTTGGCTCCTCTGGGCTCTGAATTGTATTAGCTAGGAAGAACACTGTCAGCATTGAGCTCATAGTGCCGGAAGGCTGCACCAGCAAGTGCCACGGCAGCTCACGCGTCCTAAAAGAATCTCCTTGTATGGCTGTCACCTTCTCTCCAGCTGGCCTACTGTCTTTGATGGGGATGAATTTTATGTGGTTCTATTTAAAATTCTATGTGGCTTTCTACTTTAAAGTAGGTTGTGATTCCTGGGATGTAGGAAGGCAAACAAAGAAGTGAATCCAATTCCAGAAAGCATTTGATTTGACTTGAAATGCCAAGCAAAACTGTCAGGGGTGGGAGAGAGTACCCTGAGCCAGATATTACTCACGCTTCTCAGTGCGGTCACTGTCTTACTACCAGGATGCATGCCGAGAAAAAAGGGCTTCTGTCTAGGCTAAGCCGTCTTCTTCATCAGCAAAGGGGATACTGTACCTTGAGACCTCTCAGTAGAGGCTGCACACAGGGACTAGAGATCCAGCCCCTGACACTGTCAGGCGGCTCTCATTTGTAGCTTTAAGTGTGGACTTAGGGCCGAAGCAGCTGCGGCCAATGAGGATGCTCTGCTCTGTCAGGAAGTCAAGCAGACTCGAGTATCCTGCCTTGTTCTTATCACCTGCTGTCACTTTCTGTCCCACTCCTCTCTTCTGTTGCTGCCTCTTAGTTAGTTAGTCTGTCAACACCTGTTGGTTACCGGAAATGGGCCCCATCTCCAGTCCAATCCACAGCTTTTGCTTAGTTGGGCACTTGTCTGGGAAAATCTGACAGCCGTGAGCTGAATTAGAAGAAAACCCCAGCCCCGCAGTTGGTCCCACTGAGTGCCCAGGCTCCCGTGCTGGGCACCTTTACTCCCCACGTTTATCTGCAGTGGGCTGACACCAGGCCTCTTCTGCAGCCTTCACTGTTGGTGAGGACAGGAGAGCTAACACTGAGTATTTACATGAACACAGAGGCTGACAGCTTCTTCGAACATAGAGGAGTTTCATGAAATCCTTCTGCTCCCCTGGCAAGGGGAAGTATCTAGAGCTTTTGGGTTCATCAGTGAGACAGAGAAAAAAATGTCATACATTTTATGTTTTTCTGGTTGGTCCTCAAATGTGGACTGTAGACCAGCAGTTTGGGCTTCACCTGGGATCTTCTTGGGTCTACCCAAAACTGAATCAGAAGCTCTAGGGTGGGCCCACTGGGTGTATTTAAATGAGCCCTCAGGTCATTTGGGGTTCAATGATTGGACACCTACTGAACCACTTCATGCCAGCTCTTTACTCTTTTCAAATTAAGAAAACACATAGTCTACAACTATCCATCGTGTTTCTCATATCCACTCCTCGTGTGGTTTCTGCCAGTAGCTACCTCTGTTTTTATTACAAATCGCTGAGATACTTGTTCATGCCGTCCTCTGCAACTGTAGCCTCTGAATCCAGACAGCCTCATGCGCAGGGTCGAAGAGTCTCCCAGGACTGATTCATACAAGAGTGACACATCTGTGCCTTTAGTGGCTAAACCACACCATCCAAATAGGCCCCTTGGAATCCTCTGGGGACCCTCTCAAGTTCCTGGGTCATGCCCAGTTTTATCTGATTCAACTATATGACTATCACTTGACTAATAAACAGGCTCTGAGTTACAAGCATCCGTCTCACGCCCACTCACTCTACTGAGCCCTTATCTTGCCTTCTTTGTCACATGTAGCCAGGAAGGGCACAAGACAAACTGGAAACAAAAAGATGCTGTTCTTGGAGTCCAGTGTTTTGCCAGATTGTGAATTATTCAAGAATAATGTCATAAGAAAACATAAGAAAATGGGTAAAAAATTGCCACCGCTTGCCTTCCTAACATAACTAATGAGGTCTTGTGGCTTAGCGACAGAGACTCCAAGTTCTGTGTGACTCTTACTGTGTCGGACTCATGGGCATATAGTCATTGGGTCTCCAGTGTGGTAATACGCTACTGATCATGTCTGCCAGTTCTTCTGTGTAACATGAACTCTCTTCTCTTCCTCCTTCTGCTTTCCTTTGTTCAGAGAAGCAACAGAAAACTCTCCCATCATGGATGGGTCTGAGTCTCCAACTCACCAAAGTACTGATGAATAGAGGTATTGTAAGGGAACGTTTTGTTCTTACTGCCCACGAGTGTGTGATCCAGATGTCCTGCATATGTGCGGTTTCTGCCCATGTCAGAGTTTCCAGTAGGAAATGTCTGGATGGTGTGGAAGCTATTATTTTTATGTTTTATTTCTAGATACATGTGGAGCTATATGTTTGGATGTGTGTTTTTACATCAGATGTACGATGGTCCCCATTCTTCCCACAAGAACTCTCCCCCCCCCCATGGTATATTTAGACTTTCTAGACTTTAAATACAAAAAAAAGTAGAGGTTTGTTGTTTACCAGGTTTGTAAGTAGTATTCATATAAACAGCACCACGGCTGTTTAAAATACCCAAACTACTGTAACTGCATCCTACCATTTTTCAGTGACAGTTGTATGTCGCAACAAATGTCACAGAGTCCTGTTTTCTAAATGTGGTTTGTAAGTCACCACTACCAGCTGGGAGCTCAGAAGGATTCCCAGACACCACCACGGCTGCTGAACCAACTGCTGAAATCCGTAGGGCTCTGTTATCACAAGCATGAGGCAGTGGGACCTGAAAGTCTAGGGAACTAACTCGACAGCACTGAAATTAAAAAGCACATCCAGGACACCAAAATGATAAGGGTGTCATGCAGAAGTAGGGGAAAGTTCCAGAAAAAAAAAAAAAACAGAGACAAAATTGAGCCCTGAGTAAGAAATGCCACATAAAAGTATTGAGTGCTCTACAAATTCAAAATGCTGAAAAGATTCAGACAAGAGATGCCTTTTCATTCTCATGCACGCTTTGTGAGCCTGGCTTTAAAGAACTGCAGCGGAGCGGGGAGGTAGAGAGAAACCAAGATAAAAAGTCACGGGTGTGGATTCAAGCAGGGCTCTTGGGGGTGAGGGCGGCACGGGATACCATAGAGGAGTCAAGAGCAGGGATTTAGCTTGGAATGTAGGCTAGGACAAGACCATGAACAATTTTTACAGTTGGCCAAATGTGGATGAGGAAAGCAGGGGAGGAAGAGGGACAGCTCATCCTCTGGTGACAGTGGAGGGACTGAGAACGATGTCACCAGAACATTTGAATTGGAGTCACTCTTCCCCTCCAATAAGAAGGGACTAAGATGTGCTGAGTGGTAGCAGTGGAGTCCTGAGATGCGCACTTCAAACTGGGTAGCAGCTCACAGTCTGGCCAGCACAGTCATGCTGACAGAGATCTCATCACCCTGGCTTTATGGCCACCGACCTACAGCACTATTCACCAACCCCAAAGTGTCCAGCCAGTTGGCTCGGTAACTTAAATCCCACTTCTCAATTCTCAGTGGGAATGGAGATAAGGCATCATTCAGTATTTAGTGATTACTCACTTTTTGAAAAAGTAGATTTAACCCCCCAGACTATTTAGGATCCAACATACAAGAGACTCAAACATGTTCTATGACATTGATATGTGTGAGAGAGAAAAGGTGTTGTTTCCAAAATGTGTTCTGTGGGCCTGGCTAGGTGATACCATGTGAGATATCCCAGGTGAAATAAAGCAATGCATGACTTCGCAGACCTTTGGTGTGTGCTCAGTGTACACCCAAAAGGCCGGGTCCACAAACTCACTGTCCTCCGCTCCCTCAGAGCCCAGTCCAGGTGTCCCTTCAGACACACTGGTTAGTGCGACTCCTGTATCCAATGTTCCAGTCAAGAAAATGACGTCCCTAGTAGGCCCACATTGCAATTTTATCAGAAACAAGCTTCTAGAAGAATCTAGGAAGCTGTGCCAGTATCCGCTGCATAGGAAAGGGAAACCAACTCGATCAGCTTAAGCAAATGAGCATGTGCAAGCGGCTAAGCTGGGCCAGAGCTCACTGCTTCCGGCCGCAGGGAGGAAATAAATACCCTCACACTCTCAAAGCTACTTAGCCACCTCTGAGCCAGTGAGTGTGGCTGGAGACCGGCAATCCTAGGTCACGTGTTCCCTCTGGCAGGTCTATGGGCACTATGAAGGGACTGTTTCCCCGGAGCACTGTGTGTTTCCAGCCGCCTTTTCCCATTAAAAGTTCTTGTTCTGTTGACACAGTTTACAAAAGCCAGTTTTGCAGTGAGGAGCCAATGTCTGCAGCCTGAGTATAAAGTCACCCACGCATTTACCCCCAAATACAGATACACACAAGACCCCCATGACCAGTGTCATCACTAAGGAAGGCCTTGCCTTTGCTTCTAATGCTGCATTTAATCGGAATTAACCTCATGCACTTCCAGGGCTCCAAGCACAAGGCTGTCACAGATGCCTTGGGGTTTTTCTAGCTTTTGTGGACTTTGCTAGGTCAGATGAGGGATATTTACGAAGTATTAAATACTCAGGGTATTCCTGGAGAAGTGAGCCAATGAGACAGTAGTGAGAGTGGCTGGGGGTCTTCGAGGTTAGCTGACTTGGGAGGCTTTGAGATGCTCTGCCCCTGGAACCAGGCATGGGAACTAAAGGGCAGTTTAGAAAGAGCTGGAGCTCTCTTTGAGTGAGTAGGGCTGCAGCCGCTGTCTGTGTGAGCTATTGTTGATACCTAGGAATCGCTCCCATCTAACCTACTAACAATACTTACCAAAGAACTTTCTCTTTTCTTCGATGTACATTTTTCTATGTAGAGGGAAATTTATTTTGACTTTATACTATTTTTGGTGCCGAGCATCACGTGCAGGACTGTTATACACTAAGCACGCTGTCTACCACTGAGCTACAGGCACAGCCTCTGTATGCTTTTAAAAATTCATTCATAAAATCACACCGTTGATTTAAAAAGCATAGCTGGGTGGTGGCGACACACACCTTTAATCCTAGCACACAGAGGCGGAGCTCTGTGAATTCAAGGCCAGGCTGGTCTACAAAAGCTAGTTCCAGTACAGCCAGGACTACACAGAGAAACCCTGTCTCAAAGAACCAATAAATAATAATTTAAAAAGGCACATTTTGAATGTTGTTCCAGGACAGTGATAAATTTACCTCCAAGGTGCAGACCCTTGGGTCTTATGTAAGGCAAGCCGCTGACTGTCACATAGGAAGTTGTCCTGAGGAATAAAACAGTCCCAGAGGTTTCTCAGCCCTGGCTGCACCTGAGAACCATGTACGGGACTCTCAAAGTTCCCCACAGTTGTGCGCTCCCCAGGCCAGCAGCAGCATAGCCAGACTCGGGCCTGCCCGTCCGCCCGCACCCTGAGCGCCCGTCAGTGCTGCTCTCCTCTGACTCACCATCTCTTCTTGGGCCCACAGGAGCTACAGTGATAGCTGCTTCTTGGATTCCTCCCTCTATCCAGAGCTAGCTGATGTCCAGTGGTACGGGCAGGAAAAAGCCAAGCCCGGGACCCTCGTGTGAGCCAGCCCGGCCTGTTCTGACCGCCGCACGCCATTCTGAGTCACCTCACTGCCTCTCAGTTGCCTTACCCAGACACACTGTCACCTGCACCAGCTTCGGCCCTTGGCACTTTTTTTCTCCTGTCTCCACATCCCCTTCATCCTCAAAAACCTGACTGAGGAGACATTCTGGAAGGTTCCGATCCCACTGTGTGTCCCCTGGCTCTCTTACCCAAAGAGCCAGACAACAATCCTCAATGGCACCTTGGTGGTTTCCCCCCTGCCATGACAGCCCAGGCCAGGAACTGTCAGGGAAGCCAACACATGCAATTCCTGTGGAAGAGAATGGTTGGAAGAGCGTTGGTAGGGAATGGAAAAAAGAAAGACCTCTCTGTGCAGACTGTGAAGCTGCGTCCAGCTGCCACCACCACAGGCCACTGGGTGCTTCCAGAGGGGGCTGCCTCATGGGGACATTCAGTTTACACCTGAGATAGTCTCTGTTCTGTAGTGAGACAGCCTGCAAGCGTACCTGAGGACCAGCGCTTCAGAGACGCCTCGGAGGATCACAAGCGGTTCTATGCTGCCAAAGATTAGACACATTCAACAATAAACAGATAGGAGGGGCCAAGAGGAACACACTTTCTCTGCAGTGAAACTCCTTCTCAGTTCCACACTGCTTCTATGCAGCACAAGTGAAAGTGAACCATTTGTAAAGCGTGTCCTGTCGTGAGCCGTCTGCCGTCCCGTCCACTTCTCCCGACCCGAGAGCCTGGAAATGCACCCAATGGGACAGTGAAGATGGAGGAGGCTTGGCTGGCCTGGCAGACGCAGAATCTGTCTGTCTGGCCATGAAAGGGAAACAGGCTGGAAGGAGCGCCCTGTGCAGGGGCCTCAGCCTGCACCTCCCAAGCTGCTTTCCTCTTCGGATTGGTCGGAAGCTGAAGGTGATCATTGCCAAAAGCAGGTCTCACTCGTTAAAACAGCCAGTAAAAGTGTAACCTTTCTGTTTTGTACAAGGCGTTTCATTTTCTTTTTTATGGGAAACCAAGGGAAAAAGCACATTGCGGTCTATTCAAGTGTTTTACTGTTGTGGCTCATTTTGTTTGTTAGCACTTGTGTGACAAAGAACTCAGACGGACCTCTCCTGTGTGTCACTTAGTAAGAACCCAAGTATGCCCTTAGGTAGGAAGATTTTTATGTGTCTACCAGCCGGCAGGCAGAGCAGAGTTGAAGCAACTCGGCTCCCAAAGGGCCCATTCACCTCCAGCAGTATCCATGACTTTGATTTACCACCTCTGTCCACAGATACCAAGAGGATAAAAGGCGGCAAAAAAAAAAAAAAAGCATGCGTGCAAGCTGCTCGTTTACATGTGTTTTGAGCTATGCTTAACACACAACCAAAAGCCATCAATCTTCAAAGGCCTCGAAATTTTATAATAACTAACCAGTGAACAGTCTTAGCTGGGTTACTCAAGATGGTGCCAGAGTTTTCGTGGAGGTAGTACATGTGAATCTAAGTGGGCTTGCGGGTCGCCTTTGTGCTGACTTCCTATGCGAAAGGCATCCAGGAACAGGAGCCAGGGTGTTGGAAAGCAGATCTAAAGTTAGCTGTGGCATCAAAAGAAAGACCTGTTGTTCATGTATGTGAATCCAAGAGCAACAGTAGACTCCACCAGCCCAGGAGGGGAAGGGCCAACCCTGTGGCTCACTCTGCAGTGGCTTGGAAAGCTCTGGAAGTCAAGTGGGAGCATTTCCACAGTCAGAAGCATTCATAACATGCGTCTTAGGCCTCCTCCGCCATTTTCCACGCCCACTCAAGGCCAGGTACCCCAGCGCTGGGCACGCTGGCTTGATGATCCCAGCTTTCAGAAACAGTACTCTTCCGGACACGTGTGGGGTAACCCTGTAGGATTGGTAGGGACTGGATAATGGTACAAATGAACCCGGGGCTCGACGGAGATGGGGCTACCTTTGTTTGTTCCTATTATGATGATGATCAGAGCTACAAAACGCAGGTTTATTTGGGGATTTTTTTTCCCTTCCTTCCCTAATAGGAAATGTGACACATTGGGTCAACTTTTTACTTCCAAAAAGAGATGCCTGAATAATTAGATTGAACTATGGTGCAGCAGGAAAAGTCCAAAGGGAAACAAAGAATAAGACAAGGTTACATGGTTACAGGTTATAACATAGACAGCAGTTTGAGAAACAGTTCTGAATTCGGTTGGATCAATGAGAGAGGCAGAAAGAATCTAAAATGTAATACATTTGGGGAGCAGAGAGGAATTGTATGGGAGCTGTGAACACCATCAGGAGAGTCTGGTAGTAAGGACCGAGATTAAGTAAAACAGGTTTTACTGTTTAGCTGTGTTCAGTTAATACAATGTACATATTAAGCATAAGTCCTTTGAGACGGACATACATGGTCGGTGTGGTGGGGAACACTCTGGGTGTTGTATTCAAGCACCTGCAAACGCTTAAAGATCCCTATTTCTTTAAAGGAAGATGAGCTATGAAGCCCCCAGTCTGGTCTAACGCCCCTATTGGATTCTTTGGGTACATGTAAGAAATTGCCTGTTTCAGCCAGAAGACTATGTTGTGAGCCAGGTTGGTTTATTTTGTTATATGCAGGTGAGTGTTGAAACTGTTAAAAGCCCAATTTGTTTTCATTCAGTATTAGTTTAGTTCTAAATATAGCAAACCTCATCCAGGTGCTATCAGATGACCAATTACTGCTTAGTTAACTAGGTGTAAAGTTTTACATATCCATTCATGTCAATAGTTTATTACAAGTTGTGTAAAATGGACTCTAGTTTAATAATGGGGGGAAAGATTAGGTTGCTCCTGAAATTGACTGTAGAGCATGTACAATGATTTTACTGGATTCTGTTCAACGGTAATCAATGAAAAAGATGTATGTTGTAGACAAAGTTGCAGAATTAAAAGAGAAATCTGCTTTTAATTTATTCTTTTTGTATTAAGAATTTGTATAGTACCTTTACATTTTGCAGAACAGTGTTGTCAACACTTATTAAAGCATTTTCAAAATGAAAACACCCCAGCCGCCTCTTGGACACTGTTTGTTTCTAAATGACAAATGTGTAGCCATGCTCCAGAAATCTGTGTCAGGTGCACTGGGCTCTCTTTCAAAAACAAACACCATCAGTCTTCCCCAAATATATGTGTGGGGTGTGTGTGTGACACCCACTCCCCCACCCCCCCACACAGACTTACTCTGCAGTCCCTGCCAGCCTGGAACTTACTGTATAGCCCAGGGTGGCTTTAAATTCACACTCATTTTGCCTGCAGCTTGAGTGCTGTTATGCACCACACCCAGCTATGCATGGTATGGTTGGCTTCCAGAAAGAAAGACAAACTTGTTGACCTGGTAGAGGCTAAATTATCTACCTCTAAATCATACCACTGAAGCAACAGCCTACTGCATTAACAGAAGTTCCCCAATTAAGGCATACGGCTACTGTCTTGCTTTAGGAGACTGCTACAACTGTATCCCTGACCCCTAACCTGACAGACATCTCTTTCCTAGCAGGAAACTAGAAGTCTAGCCTCCAGGAACAGCCTGGATGGAAAGCCCTTCCTGCTCACTAGAGCAAGGCTAAGGCTTGCCAACTAGAGTAACAATGCACTGGACGCTGGACCTGTCTGAAAGCGAGCTAAAGGGACAGTGTTGACAGCTCCCTCGACTCTGGCAACTGCCTCGGAGGCTTCTTAGGAAAGTATCAGAGCATCCCAAAATAATCTACACTTGAAAAAAAAAAGGCCTCTTGTTATGCATAAAGATGTCAGAAATGAGCCTATGCCCTAAACTCCATCACATGAAAACAAATGAAACCAAGGAAGGTGGCACTGTCTCATGCTTCCTGTTCTTTTTACGTGAGTGTACATGCATGCGTGCACACAATCCTTCTTCCTCTCTCCTTAAATAATGTCAACAAGATAATTCAGGTTTCTATTTTGATTCCTAGAGAAAACAAACACCCTAACCCTGTAGAAAATATTAAAAATATCCAGCCCTTACCGTCCCAGAATATATGTTTATAAAAAACACTTACACAAAACTATCCAAAGAGGAGTGTGCAAGACCCACTTGAGGACTGGTGAGCGACAGTGGCCTTCATCAAGGCATTGCACACTGGCACAGAACCCGTGTCCTCTAAAGCTTAGGTGCTCGTGGATAAGGCAAAGTAGCCCGGGACTGGTATCTAAAGAGCAAGGGACCTCTACCAGCATGAAGCCAGGAGGAAACTAAGCCAATTCCCAAAAAATTGACAGAAGACACTAGACATGAGCTCTCATTCAGACCTTGTTCAAGGAGTTGGGCTCTGTGAGGGCAGGAAAAGGTGGAAGAGGCACTGAGGTGTATAACCTGCCTGGTTTACACAAGCCAAGCTCCCAGCAAAGTCACTTCTACTCAGGCAAGCTCAGAAAGGTCTACACTGTAATACTGTCGACAGGTGGTCAATAAGGACTAGAGGTGCACAAAGAACAAACACACATACACCCTGAGATGACTCCTCATGATGACAAATGCACAGTTAATTCTCTTTTGTCATTTTATGCAACTTAGCAGCAGGCACCGGATCTTCACCTCCGTGACCTTGAAGTGTCCCACGGCTCTGCTCTTGGACTCCCTTACTCTTGACAGCTACTTTTTTTCTTTTTTGGCTTCCTGTATTTTCTCATCACTATTACAAAATATCTGAGAGAAACAACCTAAGGGGAAGAAGGCTTTATTTGCCTCAGTTTTAGAGACTTCAGTCCCTCATCGCAGGTTAGGTATGGTGGCAAGTCCTTGCTAGTATCTTGCTTCTTGGCTGACCAGAACACAAAAGGCCATACTGGAACAAGAGGCAGCTACAAATATCAAAGACCACCTCTAGTGGGCTCCTTACACCACCAGGGCTCCACATCCCAAAAGCTCCACGACCTCCCAACAGAGCACGACTATCTGGAGACCAAGCATTCAGACACATAAGCCGGCTGGGAACACTTCAGATTCAAACTGGGAACGCTCACATCTGACCTCACGGTTTGCTATGCCGCCCACACTAGTCTTCTCCACCCAGCCTGGACCTCTTCCCTCAATCTGTGCCCCTACTGCCGCCTCAGCAGCTACATGTTTAACGTGATCATGCACAGAACTGGACTCCTGCCTGTCCTCTCCAAATGTGCCCCACCGACGGCCTTCCTTCTCCGCTTAGAGGCAGATCCATCCTCTAGCCATCATCCCCGACTGCCCTTTTTCTCCCCACATCTGCAGTAAACAAAGCAGATATGAATGCTCATCCTGGGAGATTTATATTTCATTGTGGAAGATGGGGAGAAAATAAAAAACTAAATCATTTTACCAGAGAGTGACAGGAAAACAGGGACAAAGATTCAGCCTAGAACAGAAAGGGCAGCACCATTTCCTCCAGGTCTGGTGAGAAGAAATCAGGGGAAGCTTGCAGATACGGTTCTTAAGATTGCTTCCAAATTCAATTGGTGTGAGAAAAAGGTGAGGCCACCTCACAGTGAGGCCAGCAAGGGGGAAGTCAGGATACAGTGATCTCAAAAGCATTTGTGGAAACCTGTGAGCCCAGACTCAGAGAGATTTGGCGCAAAGGGATAGGAGACCCTCTTCTGCCTCCACAAATGTGCAAGGGTGTGCATTTTCCCACACATGTGCGCTTATACTCAGACACATACAAATAAACCAATAACAAAACACTAGAATTTTACAGCAAGTACAAACATTCCCAGTTCCCTCTTCTCTCAAATTCTGTGCTCTTAGGAATGCCACTATAATGATACTATTAAACAAGAGAAAAAGCGACATTAAAACTGGTATATTGGGCTGGAGATGGCCGAGTGGCTAAGAGCACTTGCTCTAGCACAGGGCCCAGATTCAGTTCCCTGCACCTAGACAGCAGCTCATACCATCTGTAACTCCACTTCTGCGGGAGCAGACACTGTTCTGCCTTCCAGAGGCGCTGCCCAAATGTGGCCTGCCTGGATATGTGCTAGCAAAACAGGAACATAAAACTAAATCTTTTATAAATGTTTTTTTAAAAAAATGATATGTGACTTGATTTTTATGGGATCTATCACATAAAGAGAGCTGAAAAGGTTATAGCAATATCCAAGCTGGTCGATCACACGATTCGGTCTCTTCCATTAACAATTATTTAGCATAACAGTCAGTCTCGGAGATATACAATACCCATGTCTAAGAGAATGTATACAGAAACAAGAAAATGGACAGAGCTCAACAGTAAACAACAGGCATGAAATCAGTCTTGATGAGGGTCTTCATAAGGGCTTTGATTGCAGGAGAGGTACTCAGCTGGGTTGGTCATCAGGCAAACACGAGTTAAATTCTCAGTGGAACATTAAGTTAAAATGAAGGTGACAGAAGACACTTTCAGATGTGATCAGATGTAGAGAAACCAAACTCTCAAATCCCCAAAGCAGGCATGTGCACTAATATAAGCTCCATGGAACTCCTTGAAAGGTCTCCTAGAGCTGAATGTTTAAGTACCTTACATTCACCTTGGTATGGTCTCTATAGAAATTTATATTCAACAAGAAATGCATACATAGAGTTCACGCAAAGTGGAACAACTCCCACAAATCACAACTACATCGAAGAGTAAATACTAGAAACCTAAAGTTCCACTAAACAAGTCAAACATAGGAAGTCAAGCAAAGCGTATGATCTCCAAATTGGGAAGACACATAAACACAAAACCAAGCAAATCTAGCTTATCTGAGACTTACTTAACCAAGTACTCAACACTTTATATCTGCTAAGTTTCATACCACCCATAAGAGTCAAGTGCTATCTGTGCATTAAAGAGGAGTAAACTCTTGTTCTACATCACCAAACAAGCAGTTTCCCTCCTTAGTCAGCGGGTGATTCCGTGTATCAGTAGCTTTCACAATGTATTAGTAAGCTGTCAACTGAGAGCCCACAACTAGCACATGTTTTGAAAGAAACACAAGGGCTCAGTTAGCAAAAGCACCTGATGTACAATCATGAGGACCTGGGTCTGAATTCCTAAAATCCACACAGAAGCTGGACACATACACAGTAATGAACCTGTAACTACAGTGCTCCTACAAAAGGATGGGAGGTGGAGAAGAACCCCCAGAACCTTGTGTGCCAGCTAGCCTGGAGCATGTAGAGGCAAAACACGAGATCCTACTGTCTCGAACAAAGTGGAAGGTGAGGACTGCCTGAGGTTGTCTTCTGAGATCTTCACATGTTACAACATGTGTGAACACACCCACCCACCACCAACCACCACACCCACCACCAATAACATCAACAACCACCAACTACCACCACTACCACCAACAAAACACCAAAAATTAACAAACAAAATCCAGACTAGGAACACATCCAACGCGGCCAGGCACTGCTTGTTCCTGTCCTATGCACGTGTCTATATGATACTGGGCCTTGTTGTGAGCGTTAGAAACACTCGGGTCTACAACTTCCACTCCTTCACAGGACAGAAAGTCTCCGCCAAGCCCAGGCTGCAACACCCGTAGGTCATAACGTTTTCTGAGTCTTCAAAGAAGAGCACTCCCAGGGCAAAGGCAGTTTGGTTTTGGCAGATTGTAAAACTGCAGCTGCAAGCCTGTGGGAATGACTTAGCTGCCATGCAGGAAGCTTAGTGAATGAAGCTGAGATCACTAAGTAACACCCAGAAAGAAAACGGAAACTCTGGAGCCAGAGCCGCTGCTCTCCTTTGCGTGAAGGTATGCACTAACCCTGGCCAATGAGGCGGGACAGGGGTGGCTGACAGTGATTTCAGAGCAGGGCTGAGGGACAGGGAAGAAGCTAAACAAAGAGAAGTGGCCTAGTTAAAATACAGCCATAATCAGCAGGGCACGGATTAGTTCAAGCATGCTGGGTAAAGTATCCCAGTTTAAAATGTGGAAAATACACAAATAGTCAGTGCTTTAATAGTAAACTATTTTGGCCATTGTCTAAACCCTTTTTTGTAACGAGCACAACTCCAGAATCTTGGCCGGCTTAGCTCCCA